AAAGCATTTATGAAAGCATTTTTATTTTACTCTTTTGAATATATACTTAAATATATTTTTAACAGGAATGCAGGCCAGCTGCATTTGGCAGCATTTCAGGGAGTAGTCACCACTTTCTGACTCTTCTCAAAGAATTTGATTGAGAAATACCTTTTGTTTAAAAGCAGCCTGAGAAGTCTGCAATTGGTATATCAACTCTGTAATATAAACATGGATTGAATTTGTTGCTATATTTGTCATAGTCATATTCTTGAGGACTGCTTGGCTCCTCTGCTTATTAGCTCTGTATCCTTGTCTGGGTGAGCCATTTAACCTCTTTGTATCTCAGTGTTCTCATCTGCAAAATGAAGACAGTAATTGTATCTATCTCTTAGGGTTATATAAGGATTACATGAATTAATTTGTTAAGTATTAGGTACCTAGTAAACACTCCATAAATATTAGCTGCTATAATTATTGTTATTTCTATTAACAGTGTTAACACGCTGTTCTTTATATGATGACCTGACCCATGTGACGAATTTTTCTCAATCTCATTTTCAAGAATTGTAGTTTTGCTGCTCTTTTGGTGTCAATGCCGTGGTCACTATGACTTTATGTAACATTTTTTATGTCACTGTGTTCAATATTGGATTAGATTTGCTTTTTAGGGTCTCCTTATAATGCATTTCTGTGTATCATCTTTATTTTTCTTGGTTTTATCTTCCCTTTTTTAGTTTTATTTATCTAGTTATTTTAAGTTTTATAATACATATTTTTGCAAGCCAACTTAATTATTTTCTGAAACTCTTCTGGGTTCATATATGTAGTAAAAGTATGTATTTTTTTAACCTAATTGAGGTGATACTCTGTATACACTGATATCCTACTTTTGCATAATCATTTAAATTTTCTATCAGAAAAATTATATATTCATTATAATGTAAAATTTTATTTTCTTATAAATACTCATATTTAAAGAGAATGGTAGCTGAGATTTCTTTATACACTAAAAATTCACTATAATACTTTCAGTTGTTTTTTCAAATGTTATACCTTGGAAAACTAATCTGATTCCAGCCAGTAAACACACAATTACTTTTTGCAGTTGTTTTACCAAAGTAATGACTTACAACCAGCTTTCAAAGAGAATTTCTGAAAAAGTTAGTGTTTACCATTCAACGGTACTAAAAAGCTTAAGGTACACAATTGTTTTTGGGTTCAAGTATATATTCTTTGATGCATTCTATTCAGTAATGTTTCTTCTAATTTTAATGGGACATTTCTATTTTCAGAAGGAGTTCTTTGTTGCAAATAAAAAACTCCAAATGACATAGAATCTTAAGAGATACATGGGTATTCTCCAGGGATCTGAATGAAGAGTGAGGTGTTGAAGGTTAGACACTGGTAGCTCTAACGGAACTAGATTTCATGTCCTGTTTAAAAGTTTTAAAGGAAACACAGAGGAAATGGTTAGAACTCTATGGTATCATTAGCGTTATTTATATTCTCTCAAGTTCAGAGGTTTCAGGGCTAAGAAAATATATGCAAAGATGGAGACATTCATCTTTCTGATTTTTATTAGTGTACTTTCAAAATGCTCATATGGAATAAACACACTTTCTTTTTAAATTTTTGTCTTTCCACTTGCCTTAAGGATGTATGTGTAGGTGGGAAGAATAAGGAAATCATATTTTTATCAACTCCCTGATGTACAGTTAAAATAAATAAAGATTTTACAACAATATCATGGTAATAAAACCCAAATGTTCTCTAGACAAAAACACTTAAAAATGCTCTTATTCTATTTTAAAGATTAGCTTATTAATGAAATTAATTTACATCACTGACCCATTTTAGACTATGCTGAAAAAGTTATGTTAATTAAGTTTGATTAGGCTCATTTACTCTGTGAAAGTTTAGTTTTATTTTCCTTGCACTTTTATACAATTAAAAATAACTTTTACATCATTGAAAATTATTTCTGTTTATAGCAAATAATGTGGAAACTTGGGCCGATTATCTCTTTAAGGAAAAGCTGGAATTTCATCTTTTTCTTCCAGTGTAGGATCTTAATTATGAAAACCAATCACTTGTCCTAAATGGAATTCTTTTTCTCTTTATGAGGGTTTTAATTTAATTTAATTTTTAAAGTATATTGTGGGTTTTTGTGGGGTTTTTTTAGATTTTATTTATTTATTTTTAGAGAAGGGAAAGGAGAGAGAGAGGGAGAGAAACATCAATGTGTGGTTTTATCTGCACAGACCCCCTACTGGGGACCTGGCCTGCAACCCAAGCATGTGCCCTACACTGGGAATCAAACCGGTGACCCTTTGGTTCACAGGCCAGCAGTCAATCCATTGAGCCCCACCAGGTAGGGCAGGGGTTTTTATTTTAATTCAAAGATACATTAGAAACACAGGATAGCTCTTTTAAACATTGCAGTATACAGAGAGTTTCAGGGATAAAACTGAACTGAGCTAGTCTTCTTAGAAATGCCACGTATTTTCCATTTTCTATCTATGCCTCTGAAGACTGAGAAAAGGGAGAGTATTTCTGGTCTGTAGTTGTGGTTGGTATTAACAGCATTGAGCTGTGTTATCTGTTACTGCTTGTTGTATAGCAACAAATTATCATTCTGTTTACTTCATTAACAATAAGGGAGTCTCAAACTGCTAGGTTGGAAAACAGGAGCTCTGTGTATTGATTGTCTTTCTCATCATTGTTATTAGTAAATATTTACTTAATTGAATGGGGCAAGTACTGTAGACATTGTGTGAATTAACAGATATGAAAGTACTTTGGAATTATAACCATGAAGTAGTGCTTATTCATGTTTTTCACAGAATGCTGATTTATGATGTGTTGATATGAAAGTGAGGAATTTTCTTTGTTGAAAAAAAATTTTTTTAAGTTACCAATTGCTAGCCTTAGCTCCTTAGGAGTCTGCAGCGCTTAGGCCAGAGTCACACTCGTCATCTCTGTTCCTGGGTTCAGGCCAAAGAGTCCAGAGCTGAGCTTGGGTCAGGATGCCATCACCTATTATCAGCTTGAAGCTGGGATTTTCAAAATTAACTCCCATTCGTTTCTTTAAAAATATGGCCTCATTGGGACACCTTCTTCACATTGCTTCTTCTCTGAATATCAACAGGACTACTCAAAGGAAACAAGGCCCACTCTTTTCTTTCTCCTTCATTTTTTTTTTCAACTCATACACCATTTTGTTAGGCGTTTTGTATATCCTCATGCAATCTTATAATTCATATTAAAATGAAAGGGTATATAGTACATAGGATGGGACAAAGTTTGACATTAACTTAATGTCTCTTTTGTGTTTCACACCTGGGAGGCATATCGGATACCACCTATGTAATGTTTAATAAAACACAGGTGATAAGCCCTACTTTGGATCTGTTGAATCTAAATATTCAGGGTAATGGTGTCTAAGCTTATATATTTTCCAAAAGTTCCCCCAGCTCTTTCTGATACATATCTTTATTTTGAACTGCTGTGCTATACAGCATGTTTTCTGTTTGTTTTATTTGCTAGGACATGTGATGTAACTGTATGGTGAATATTTTTCTGGAATAAGTAGTCCTGAGAGTTTTCTTTAAATTAAACTGTTTTTATATTAACTTTAAAAAGATTTTTATATATTTATCTGTGTATACTTATATATATACACACACACACATATACATACACATATTTACATACATACTTAATATTTTCATGATTTGATTATGAAAATAACCCGTGATTCATCATATTTTTCTTGGATGGCAGTCCATTTCCTGGTGTATAGCACAGCCACGAGTGGAAATGAGCTCATTCTCGCCATGAACCATCTTAGTAAACACTGCTGATGGTGATAAATTTAGTCTTTCCTGTGGTAACTGTCATTGGCAGCTTGAAATGACATGCTCATGTAGTTTGCATACAATTTAAAATTCTTAATTGAAGAATTAAATAAAACTAATGAGTTAAGCCAAATTTTTATAATGGCCAAGGCTTCCCTTTCAGGCCATGGGGTCTTGCTGAATTTGAATGTTATTGTTTCTCAAGTGTATTTATGATTTAATATGAGCCTATTCATACTTCCTAAGTCAGTACTTTTTTGAAAGTGAAAACATTGGTTTCAATACTGATTTGTTGTCATTATGTATTTAAGCAGATTCATTAGTTTTCTATCTGCTTAAAACTTGAAACCAATCACAACTCGATTTTTGGTTAAAATTGCCTTTTGTTTGATATAAGTGGCACAAAATGTATTTGAAGCTGATAACAGAAACTATTGTCTTCAACATTAACACACTTAAGAAAATATTGTTTATATTATATGGCACCAAATCTTTTTATAGTAGATAGACTTATATCCAACTACTATTAATAGTTTGCTTAAATCTGTTACACTGTTTTCATGCTAGCATATTGTGTGAGTGGTTTAAGAAATTGCTTATAAATGCCATGCTATTTTCTGTCAATTCCTGTACCTCATCTGCTGACTGTTCTCTGTTTCCTCCATTTTTAAGTCTCTTTAAATATAATGAATAACTTTGATGGTTCCTAGCATGGCTTTTAAGGAACCCAGCAACTACGAGAAAAGGCATGTTATTGATAAGTATCTCCACTCATTGAATTTGTATGAACTCTTATTCTTAAAAAGGAATTCATACATTTTCATCCCTGCAGGAATAGAGCTGATTGAGTTAATTCCATTAAAATCAGGCAGAAACTACTACCATCATCTGTGTAGATATCAAATGAACTTTTTAAAAATGGAGAAATGCTAAATTAAAAGGAAAACAAAAGTTCCTCTTACTATGTTATGTGGATGTAATAGGGCACAAAACCCCCAAACGGCCAAGAAAAGCTTCTGAATATCTTTTTCTTTGATGAGTTGGAGTGAATTCCCAAATGTTGTATGTAATGTTCAGACAGAAGTAACTATTAAGCTAAATAAGCTGCCATCTATGTCTTAAAAATTAATTCCAAATTTTCTTTCTTGGTTTTGGCTTTAGGATATGACAGCACGTGATCTGCTACAGCAGAGATACACTCTTCCAAATGGAGACACTGCCTGGCGGTCCTCACCTCTCGTGACTGCTGCTCTGGAAGGAAAGCTGGTCCTCTTGGATGGCATTCATCGCGTCAATGCAGGCACACTTGCTGTGTTGCAAAGGTCTGCATGAGTCACACACACGAGAGCCCACCAAGTAAACAGTACATGTGCACCTCTTTCCATCTTGTTTTTTAAAACTGGGTCATGTAGATCCTTAAAAACTTGTAATTCTATGTCCAAGTAGAACAGCAGATTTTTGAAAATTGCTGTGTTTTAAGAAAACTTTTAAGTAGTGATTTTGAAAGGCATATATGCTTATCACATATATATGTATACTTAAATATATATGTAACAAGTCACATACCTCAAGTTTCTATAGTTTGTCAGTGTCATAGCTCCACTGATTACAAACTTATGAATCATTGATTTAAATGACTAGTTGATCTTGTTAGAATTTTTTTTTGAGAGAAAGTGTAGTTCTTTATATAAAGTGTATAATGGCTCTTTTATTTTACTTTTAAGCTAAAAAGCTCACTTTGTGTTTACAAATATGAACATTTGTTTAATGCCTGTTTTCTTATTGCAGTTTTAGATGGGGAAAATACCTACACATTCCTAATTAACTTCTCTTGAATTTAATGTCAAGAAGAAATTTTTTGTATGACACTCATGGAAAATATTCCCATCCTGTATCACTATTAATGATACTAATTTTTTGTTGTTGTTATAGCTTGATTCTATCACTTGTAATAGGATTTGGTTTTTAACTTTGTCTTATCAGGAAAGTTCAAAGAAATGGAATAATGCACCAGCTATTCAAATTTTTTTTCTCATGAAATGTAGATACCAAGTAAAATGAAATGTTCTAAAAACATTTTGTTAATCTTGATTAGATTAGAGAACATTTAAAAATATTTTCAGTGATTTATAATAAATAATCTATAAATTCATAATTTTTTCTCTTCTAAACAGACAAATGCAGACACAAACAAAAGAATACTTCACCCTTTTATTAGCTATTTCTTGTCCATTAAGACAAATAATAGCAGTGACAGCTACCATTAAATGAGTATGTACTCTGTGCTGGGCATTGTGCCAAGTCAGAATGGCTCAGGTTCTCAACTTGGAAATCATCTTTTGAGCGTGAGGCTTAAAAATCACTGATGCCTCAGCTCTAGACAAATTAAAGTCTCAAAAGGTGCACTAACCTTTTCCAGGAGAGGCTAATGTGCAGCCAAGGTTTAGAACAACTATATTAAGCATATGCCTTCCAGTAACTGTATAATTTTCATAGCCAGACTATGAGGTCTATGAGGTTAATGTTATAGCCCTAATTTTATAAAAGATAAAAGTTTAAATTAGCTGGTCATTCAGCTAATAATGTGCAGGGCTGGTTTTTGAACCCAGGTTCAACTGGCTCCAGTGTCCATGCCCCTAACCTCTGCATTATGCAGTGTTCCTCCCCTGCAGTGCTTATCAAGTAGACATTGTATGGGGCACTGTAACATGGACATTAGACTTGGTGGTTGGTATAAGAGCTAGAACAGCACTTCTCAGTCTTTGCAACATCTGGAAGACAGTGCTGTTGTGCTGTGGATGGTTAGCTCAACACCATAGTGGATATACACAGTAGCACTAGTTACTTCATTATAAAGATTTTTGATATTTTAAATCCTATAATTCTAAAGATAGAAACATTTTGATAATACAACTATTAAAAAGTTAAATTGGACTCAAGGGAGCATGTGCCAGCTGCCTTGCACGTTAATATGTACCTCAGGGTGATCCTGAGTCACTCCTTCATCTGTTTTTTTCATCCCCCTCCTCCTTCCCCTTTCCACCTTCTCCTTATCCCCCTCCTCCCTGTCCACATCTAGTATCCATCATTATTGCCCTTCAGTGCAGAAACCACAGTTTTGCCAACTGTAATAGCACTAGCCAACTTGAAATTTTGAAAGGTACATCTAAAATTGTTAGACTCAATAGCCAGTAATAATGGACATTATTAAAATGTTAACTGACTGATCCTACCTCTAATAACTTCATTATTCAAAACTGATTGGTTTTCTGATGTTTCTCTATTCCATTAGGTTGATCCATGATAGAGAGCTAAGCCTTTATGATGGCTCTAGGTTGCTGAGAGAAGACAGGTATATGCGTTTAAAAAAGGAACTGCAAATATCTGATGAGCAGCTACAGAAGAGGTAATTTATGATACACTACTCTTATTGTCAAGTGTGCCTTTGGTTTCTTATTTTTCTAACCTTGGGGTCAAGCCAAGATAACTTTGAACAGCTTGATAATTTGGTATCCTGGGCATGCTCGTAGTTTGGAACTTCTTAAAACTTGAGGTTATGATCCAAGATGAACTCTGCACTCTCAGCCTACTTTTACATAAGTGTTCAAACGTGTTACAGGGACATTAATCTTAAGAAGGTATTTCTTCTTTTATCCTAGCTAATCAGTTTTTGCCCCATACTTTGTATCTTTTCAACAAATAGAGAAACAAGAAGTTTTTGTCATGAACTCAGCCCACTCTCCTAAGAAGTCATCAGTTATTACCGGGATATGCCACCTGATGCAGGATTATCCTTTGTGACTTAATTAATCATTTTCCAGAGACATAACTCCCAAATGCAATGTGTGAGACTTGTCTGGATCCTAGATCAGGACATAAAATGAAAATAGCTATAAAAGAAACAGTGGTGACAATTGGGAAAGCTTAAATATGGGCTATATATATTACATGACATTGAATTAATATTAATTTTCTTAAGTATCATAATGCTATTGTGGTTATGAAGGATAATGTTCGTATTCTTGGGAGACACATGCTGAGATATTTAAGGGATAAAATAGAAAGATGTCCACAATTTACTTAAAAATATTTCAGGGAAAAAAATGTATGTGTCTGCATACAAACATACACCACACAGAGAGAGAGATTAAGAGAGCAAAAACAATTGGTGAAATGTAGGTGAATGATGTATGGGTGTTCATATTCTATTCTTTCAAATTTTCTATGGGTTTGAAGATTTCAAAATAAAAAGTTTGAAGGAAAATATTTCTGCTGCATACAGTACTTTTCCTTAGAGGAGTTTTGGCAATATAAGTTATTTTCTGCCTCATTACATTTCCATGGCTATTTTGACATAATTAGAGATTTGCTACTGTGTAGAATTCTTAGTCATTTAATTGGATCTTATTTAATTGAAGCTTCACCTCCCTCCAAAGGGGTTGCTGCCATATTTAAAACATTAAAATCCTACAAATGATAGTTAAGTGTACTTATTGTGTTTATGTTTTAAGGAGAGTTTTGTTTAAACATGGCTTTGGAATTTTTTCACAGAGAGGAAATGTTAAATTTCTTATTATTGCTATATAGATTACTTAAAAATTCACTTGATTTCACAGTTATTTATGCTCCTGAGGTACACATCCTTGAATTTCTCAAGCTCAATAAATAGTTTCATTGACTGTTAGAAAGTTATGAGGATCCCGTTCGTTTCATACCTTCAGTTTATAAAATTCAGCTTTCCTATACTGTTTGCATGTGAGTCATTTGTCTGGGAAGAGTTTTTATTTTTCATGGAGATGAATCAAAGCAGTTGGGCAGTAGCTCTCAGCAACCCTGCCAGTCAGTTTCCCGTAGGACTTCAGGAGCATTGTGTTTGTAGCCAAACATCCAGGAAATGACAACCCTTTTTTATGAAAAGTACCCAACCTCTCTCTAATAGTCACAAGCAATGCTACAAATGAAAACACTTTCAGGAAGAGTAGCACGGAGCATCAATTCAGAGTTTGGCTCAAAGACGTTAGCTGCACTCTTTAAACTAGTGTCCTATCTTTGCCCTGATTCGTGTGGCTCAGTGAGTTGGGCATCATCTCACAAATTGAAAGGTCACTGGTTTGATTCCCAGTCTGGGCACATGCATGGGTTGCAGGCCAGGTCCTCAGTAGGGGACATGCGACACTTAACTGATACATATTTCTCTCCCTCTCATTCTCCCTCCATTCCCTTCTTTCTCTAAAAATAAATAAATAAAATCTTTTAAAAAATGTCCTTTCTTCATCACTGTTTATTTTTAGCTCTCCTGAGAATGTAAAACCGATCAAATTCTGCTTCCAGAATCACTCTGGATAGGTAGAGACAGGATACAGCACTTCCTGGTTTCATTCACTTACTTTTTATTTTTATTTGAATTTTTAAATTTTTTTTTATTGTTCAAAGACATTTGTATCCATTTTCCTACCACTACTTTCCCCTACTCTACTCACCCCTACCTCCCACTCTCCATCCTTCCCCACTTTGGCTTTGTCCATGGGTCCTTTATACATGTTCCTTGACTTGACCCTTCCCCTTCTTTTCTCTCATTACCGCCCTCCGTCATCCCCTCTCATTACTGTCAGTTTGTTTTTTTCTTTCAACGTTGCTGGTTATATTTTTCTTGCTTGTTTGTTTTGTTCATGAGGTTCCACTTATGGGTGAGATCATATGGTATTTGTCTTTCGAACCCCTGGCTTATTTCACTTAGCATAATACTGTCCAGTTCCATCCATGCTGTTGCGAAGGGTGGTAAGCTCTTTATTTCTTCGTGCTGTGTAGTATTCCATTGTGTAAATGTACCACAGTTTTTTGATCTACTCATTTATTGATGGACACTTAGGTTGCTTCGAGCACTTGGCTATGGTAAATTGTACTGCTATGAACATAGGAGTGCATAGGTTCTTTTGAATTGGTGTTTTGGGATTTTTAGAGTATAATCCCAGAAGTAGAATCGCTGAGTCAAAAGGCAGTTCCATTTTTAGTTTTTTGAATAAGTTCAATGCTGTTTTCCACAGTGGCTTCACCAGTCTGCATTCCCACCAACAGTGTACTAGGGTTCTGTTTTATCCACAACCTCGCCAGCACTTGTTGTTTATTGATTTGTTTATGATGGCCATCTGACAGGTGTGAAGTAGTATCTCATGGTGGTTTTAATTTGCATCCCTCTGATGGGTAGTGATGCTGAGCATCCTTTCATATGTCTCTGGGCCCTGTGTATGTCCTCCTTGGAGAAGTGTCTGTTCAGGTCCTTTGCCCATTTTTAAATTGGATCGTTTGTCTTTCTGGAATGGAGTCGTGTGAGTTCTTTACATATTTTGGAGATCAAACCCTTGTCTGAGGTATCATTGGCAAAGATATTTTTCCATATGGTTGGATCCCTTTTCATTTTGCCAGTGTTTTCTTTAGCCATGCAGAAGCTTCTTATGTTGCTGAAGTCCCATTTGTTTCCTTTATGTCCCTTGCTCTAGGGGACATATTGGTGAAAATATTGCTACATGGAATGTCTGAGAGTTTCCTCTCTATGTTCTCCTCTAGGACTTTTATGGTATTGCAACTATTTTTAAGTCTTTTATCCATCTTGAGTTTATTTCGGTGCAAGGTGTAGGTTGGTGGTGAAATTTCTTTTTTTCTTTTTTCTTTTTTTGCATGTAGCTGTCCTGCTCTCCCAACCATTTGTTGAAGAGGCTATTTTTACTCCAATTTATGCTTCTGCCCCCTTTGTCGAATATTAAAGGACCATAGAGATATGGGTTTATTTCTGGGCTCTCTATTCTGTTCCATTGATCTATGTGTCTGTTCTTAAGCCAGTACCAGACTGTTTTGATTACAGTGGCTTTGTATTGTAGTTTGATGTCAGGTATTGTGATCCATTCTACTTTGTTCTTTCTCAAAATTGCTGCAGCTATTTGGGGTCATTTATGGTTCCATATATGTTTTTGAAATGTTTGTTCTATATCTGTGAAATACATCATTGGTATTTTAATAGGGATTGCATTGAATCTATAAATTGCTTTGGGTAGTATGGACATTTTGACGATGTTAATTCTTCCAATCCATAAACACGGTATATGCTTTCATTTATTTGTGTCTTCTTTAATTTCTTTATTCAGCGTTGTGTAGTTTTCTGCATACAGGTCTTTTACGTTGTTGGTTAAGTTTTTTCCTAGGTACTTTATTTTTCCTGTTGCCATAGCAAATGGTACTTTCCCCCTGATTTCTGATTCTGATATTTCATTGTTGGTGTACAAAAATGCCCTTGATTTCTGAATATTGACTTTGTATCCCACTGTTTTGCCAAATTCACTTACTAGGTCGAGGAGCTTTTTGGTAGAGTTTATGGGGTTTTCTACGTACACTGTCATGTCATCTGCAAACAATGATAGTTTTACTTCCTCCTTTCCAATGTGGATGCCTTTAATTCATTTTTCTTGTCTGATCACTGTGACTAGGATTTCCAGAACTATGATGAATAGAAGTGGTGAAAGTGGACAACCTTATCTTTTTCCTGATCTTAGTGGAAAAACTTTTAGTTTTTGCTTGTTGAATATGATGTTGGCTGTAGGTTTTTCATACATGGCCTTTATCATGTTGAGGTATGCCCTCTTTGTTCCCACTTTCCTGAGTGTATTTATCATAAATGGCTGCTGTACCTTATCAAATGCTTTTTCCGCATCTATTGATATGATCATGTGATTTTTGCTTAGTTTGCTTTAGTTTATGTGATGTATTACTTTTATTGATTTGTGAATATTGAACAATCCTTGCATCCCTGAGACAAATTCCATTTGATCATGATGGATGATCTTTTTCATGTATTGTCAGATATAGTTTGCCAATATTTTGTTGAGGATTTTAGTGTCTATGTTCATCAGCAATATTAGCTTGTAGTTCTCCTTCTTTGTTGTGTCTTTATCTGGTTTTGGGATTAGCATGATGCTGCTTCATACAAAGCATTTGGGAGTCTTCTCTCTCTTTGGATTTTTTGGAATAATGTGAGAAGTACAGGGGTTAGTTCTACCTTAAATGTTTTGTAAAATTCTCCTCTCCGGTCTAGGGCTTTGGTGTGACGGGTGTGTTTTGATTACTACTTCAATTTTACCAGCTGTTATTGGTCTGTTCAGGCATTCTGCTTCTTCTTCATTCAGTGTTGGAAGGTTATGTTTTTTTTTACAAATGTGTCCATTTCATCGAGGTCTTCTAATCTCTTGGCATATAATTGTCCATAGTAATTTTTTACAATCCCTTGTATTTCTGTGTTATCAGTTGTAATTTCTCCTCTTTCATTTCTGTTATTATTTATTTGGGTCCTCTCTCTTTCTTTCTTGATGAGTCTGCTTAAAGGCTTGTCGATTTTGTTTATCTTTTCAAAGAGCCAGCTCCTGGATTTGTTGCTTCTTTGAATTGTTCTTTTAGTCTCTATGTCATTCAGTTCTGCTCTGATCTTGATGATTTCCTTCCTTCTACTTGCTCTGGGCTTTGTTGTTTTTCCTCCAGTTCTTGAAGAAGTAGGGTTATGTTGTTTATTTGTAATGTTTCTATCTTTTTTTGGTATGCCTGTATTGCTATGAACTTCCCTCTCAGGATTGCCTTTGCTGTGTCCCATAGGTTTTGGACTGTTGTGTGTTCATTTTCATTTGTTTCCAGAAACTTTTTGATTTCTTCTTTGAGTTCATTATTGACCCATTCATTGTTTAAGAACATGCTATTTGGTCTCTCTGAGTTTGAATGTTTTTGAGCTTTTTCCTTGAGGTTGATTTCCAGTTTCAAGCCCTTAGGACCTGAGAAAATGCTTGTTATGATTTCGATTTTCTCGAATTTGGTGAGGCTTATTTTGTGTCCTATCATGTGGTCTATCTTTGAAAATGTTCCATGTGCATTTAAAAAGAATGTGTATTTTGCTTCTTTGGGATGAAAGGTTCTATATATGTCAGTTAAGTCCATTTGATCTAATGTGTTGTTCAGTTCCACAATATCCTTGTTGATGTTTTGTTTAGAATACCTACCCATTTTTGACAGTGGAGTGTTAAAATCCCCTACTATCAGTGTGTTTCTTTCTACATCTTTCTGGAAGTTCTCCAAGATTTTGCTTATATATTTGGGTGCTCCTATGTTGGGTGCATATAGGTTTACAATGTTTGTGTCTTCATGATAGATTCTTCCTTCGAGTATTATGAATTGTCCTTCTGGGTCTCTTTTTATTGCCTCTGTTTTGAAATCTATTTTGTCTGATATAAGTATTGCTACCACAGGAAAGGGATTTTTAGTCCCTTCTCCAAAAACTACTTATTATTTTACAAACCTTGGGAAGTCTCATTGTATCCTAGGATATTTACATTTTCAGGTTCCCTAGCAGAGATTTATAGAAATCACTTTTAATATCTTAACATTTCCTATAAATTGACAAAAGAATGAATTATATAAAAGTTAACATTTTTCTGCCTTTTTAAGAGCTAGGTATTCTTATTTACAAACAAAATTTAAATTTAATCCAACCCCTGTGCTTGTTAAATTTTCTTCATATTGGAAAGTCTCCTTGAATCATTCTTCGTTGCTTTTCCAAGATTCACATATAATGGGTTCCTTGCAAGACAGGATATTTTGAGGGGATTTTGAATAAAGAAAAGGGACCTATGTGCAAAATATGAACTGGATGGGATTTTGTTTGAAGGGACTATGGGGAAAATTTAATGTAGGTGTAATAGCATATTCAAAGAAGTGGTTTGTGCCAGTGATGGTGTTTTACCAGTGGATGTGGTACATTTTATATTAGCAGTAGGTGACTCTTTTGTTTGTTTGCTTTTGTTTTAACCTTAGGATCTTAGTCTGTTATTTGGATAATACCTTTGAGTATATTAACAGCATTATAGACTTACCATTGCCTAGACTTCAGGTACTATGACCTAATTTCTAATGTGAAAGGTTATATTTTTTTATTTTTTTGTCTTTTAGATCCATTTTTCCTGTCCACCCCTCCTTCAGAATCATTGCGTTGGCAGAGCCCCCTGTTATTGGAAGTACAACACAGCAGTGGCTGGGGCCAGAATTCTTAACCATGTTCTTATTCCATTACATGAAACCACTTGTCAAAAGTGAAGAAATCCAAGTGATTAAGGAAATGGTAAGAGTGAGGCCAGCTCTAGTCTGACCCTTCAGTTTTTCCCTTTTTAAGGCCCTCTGACTCTAACTAAAACAGATTTGGACATTTTTGGCTTTTTCTCACCACTTAAAAATTTCCTCATGTAATGGCTCTCAAATGTTAACATTTTGCAGAATCATCTGGAGGACTTGGTAAAAATGCACGTTGCTGAGTCAGTTGTTCTGGGATATGGTACATGGGAATTTCTAAAGTTCTTAGGTAGTGCTGATGTTGCTGTTGCTGGTCTCTGGACCACATTTTGAGAACTGTGCATGTAGGCTATCTCTCCTCTTTCCTTTTCCAGTTTGGAGATTCCTTTTCTTTTCATATTCAGCGAAAGGTGACTATTTTAAGTTCCCACTATAAAGGGAGTTTAAGTATATCTTAGTTCCTTAGATTCTGTAGGTATACTAAGGAGTCCTGGTCCCCGTCATGACTGTAAGATGAGGTCTGTCCGGAAAGAGTCTAGTCATTGTTAATATAATGAGAATGGTTTGTGCAACATCGATGTAACCTGGCAGCCAAAGAGAGTGGACTGGAATGTGCATGCATGAATAATTACAACTTTACTGTACTAGTCAGTGGAGGTGGTAGGCGCCTTTGAGTGAGCATACGTGCTATGTGGCCATTGCATTCAAAGTGAATGAGTGAGTGGAGCAATGAATCTGCATCTAATTTTGTGTTAAGTTTGAGTGTTCCTCCACAGAAACTATTCTGATGATTCAGAAGGCTGCAGCTATGGGCAACTGGTGATTGGCAGCTTCATCATGACAAATGTGCCCACTCACGCATCATATCTCATGCAGAGGTTTTTGGCAAAACATTGAATCACCCAGTTGACTCAGCCCTGCTACAGCCCAGATTCAGTGCCCTGTGACTTCTGGCTTTTCCCAAAACTAAGATCACCTTTGAAAGGGAAGAGATTTCAGACTGTTAGTAATATTCAGGAAAATACGATGGGACAGCTGATGGTGATTGGGAGAACTGTGTGAGGTCAGGGTGCCTCCTTTGAAGGGGACTGAGGCATCATTGTCCTATGCACAATGTTTCTTGTATCTTGTACATTTTTCAATAAATTACTCTATTTTTCTTATTATATGGCTGGATACCTTCTGGACAAACCTCATATATCCTATCCTATACTTACCTGATTAGTTGTCTGGTGACTTGAAGTGTGTGTAATCCATTACTTCAGTGTCTGTCTTAAGCAGGCATTGTGGTTAGCATTTTCTAGAACTGTACTATTTTAAATATAAGCACTGGCCATAAAATTTTAAAATTTAGTTTCTCAGTCTTATTTCAAGTGACCAGCAGCTACATGGATGCTTTTGGCTAACATATTAGAAAGTGTAGGTAACGAACATTTCCATCTTCGTAGAAAGTTCTACTGGATGGTGTTGTTAGAGATCACAAGTAGTAACCTTACATCTGTGTCTACTAAGTTAACATAAAAAGTTAACACTCATCCCTTTTAAAATTCCATAATGAACTTTTTAGGTCTTGTGAGTCTGACTATGGATAAGGGCATAGGTTCTAAAGACAAACAACTTACTTTTAAGTGCCAAATTCACTAATTATTAGCCTTCATATCTTGGGTAAATTACTCAACCATAATTTCTTCACCAGAAGATGAGGATAATACTAGTTCTTACATTACAAGATTGATTTAAAGAATAAATAAGATAAAGTATGTACTAAATAGATCTTAGAATTTTAAAAAGTTTCAGTTACTTAAATGACTAAAGAAACCCTGAACAGTTTACTTCTGAAATGACCACATTCCACCAGTCATTGTTCTAACATCTCTTTCTGATCTTTTAAATTAAAACTTTAAATTTGTTATTGTTTAAGTAAAATTTTCTTGTAATCAATTAAATATTTAATTAGATTAAATTTGTTATAGTTAAGGCAATCAATGTGTGTTATTTGGGCAACTACTCTTTAGAGTTCATTGAGAAACATCATGTCGCTTTGGTATGCAGTTTAAACGTCCTGAAAAAATGGACAGCTTGAGCATCTATTCTTTATACAAAGGGTACCTTATGCGACTTAATAGTCATAGCTGTGAGATTACTACTAAATGAATGAGTTTGGTTTCATTAAGAGAGGGCCTAAATTAGAGTTTAAAAAATTATGCTGAAGCTAACAAAAAAAAACCCAATAATATATGAAAGGTTTTTTATAGGCATATTATATACCAATGTTTGAGGTAGAGGCTCCTTTCAGTTTTATGCTGGTTATAGAATTGTAAATAGAGAAGAGTAGTTTGGTTTTAATTACTGGATTCTTAAAGAGAAGGGGGAAGGGTTGGGTATAAGCATTTTCTGAGAAGATGAATAAGTAAATTTTCCATGAATTAACCATGTAAGCTCTAATTACAGTCTTTCTGAAAGTGTAATTCTAGTATTATTTATTAAGTAGCTATGATTTCTGATTTGTTGATCAGATATCTATCTCACTTCATTCTTTCTGTCTTTCCTCAATCCTCTCATAAAATAGGTCCCAAATATACCTCAGGAAGCTTTGGACAAATTGTTATCATTTACACACAAACTCAGAGAGACACAGGATCCAACGGTAAGTCTGGATTTTCTATTGTTGACAGGCTGCTGCTTTTTATTCTTATAGTTCAGTGTTTTAACATCTGTTTTTTAAGCTGGTATTTTTATGCCTGTGTTATGCTTTGTCCTATGCACATGTTTTACTCTTTCAACAATTTTAACATTTCTTCCAGCTCCTCATGGATATCATAGAAAAAAACTTTGGCTCTAGGGATGGACCATATTTTGCTATGTACAATGTGCACTTTTTTGCCCAAATTTTTGAGGGAAAAATAAGAATGCGCATTATACATGGGTAGTACTAATTTCTATGTTTAATGTGAATTATACTTGGGAATTAGTACTGAAGCGTGGGTGCGCATTATACACGGGAGGCATTATACATGGCAAAATACGATACTTGGTACTCCTGTGGTTTGGCTTTGCTCCTTCTGTCTCCTATACTGAGCAATCTTATCTCTTCTTATGGCTTTAAGTACCACCTCTGTGATAATGCCTATGTCTTTATCTTCAACTTCTAACTTCTCTTTTCTGATTGATTCTTTATTTCTAATTATATTTTAATGCTGGGATAGTATGTTGGAAAGATTGAGGGCTGTCACCGTCTAACTCTGAGTGTCAGTGTTCTCACCTGGGAAATGGGAACAGTGCCATGTGTCTCATAGGAGGTTGTGATGATGGGATATAGAACTAAACAGTCTTTCCCCTTTAAATCTACTTATTCCTTATTTGATTTCCTGACTTTGTTACTCACCTGTCTACTAAATTACCTAAATTAGAAACCTTGACATCATTGCTGATGCCTAGCTTCCCCACTATTTCTACTTAATTTGAAAGCAAATCTTATAATTTAGCATCTTGATTTCTAATCTGTGCTCTTATCTATTGTCAGTAATTATCCTAGTATTGGATTTCATAATCTTTCTCCTAGAATGTTGGTACTTTCACTTGTCTGCCCTCTTGACCAATAATCCATTCCTCTTGTGGCCCTCTATTACTTTCCTGTGCTGTTATAACATGTCACCATAAATTGGTGGTTAATTACAAAAGAAGTTTATTTTCTCACAGTACTGGACACCAAAAATTTGAAATGAAGCTAAAATCAAGGTGTTTGCAGAGTCACATTCCCTTGGAAGCTCAAAGGAAGAATCCACCACTTGTCTCTTTCAGCTTCTGGTGGATGCTGGCGTTCCTTGACTCACAGCCTTGTCACTTCAGTCTCTGCCTCCATCTTCACATCACCTTCTCTCCATGTGTCTGTGTCAAATCTTTTTCTGCTTCCCTTTCATAAGGATACGTGATTGCATTTAGTAGCCATCCAGATAATCCAGCATAATCTCCACATCTCAGATATCTTTAATGCTATCTGCAGAGTCAGTTTTGCCATGCAAGGTAAAATTCACAGGTTCCAGGGATTAGGATGTGAATATCTTTGGGGGAGGGGAGACTGTTTACAGGAGACCTCATTTCCAGCTACTTCCCCCTTACTCATTCTTTTCAGCTACACCATTCTCCTTGTTGGTCCTTGAACGAATTAGAGCCCTTGCCACTTGGTATTTCTTCTGCCTCAGTTGGTCCTCCAAGGTAGCTATAGGTTTGCTCCCTCATCCTGTTTGGATTTGCTCAGATGTCGTCTTTTAAGTGACACCTTCCTGAAGCACTCTATTTAGAATCACATATCCTTCCCATTTTATTCCTTTCTCTCTGTTTTAAGGTTCTTCATAGGGTTTAACCCTTTGATATAATATGTTTTACTCAATTTTTTTTCTTAATGCAAGTGGAGAAACATCAATGTCTGAGAGAAAAACCGATCAGTTGCCTCTCCTACTGGGCCCACAACCCTGGGCCCAGCCGGGGAACTGGGCCCACAACCCTGGCATGTGCCCTGACCAGGAATCAAAGTGACCTTTCGTTTTGCGAGAAGATGCCAGGCCAGTCAGGGCTGTTTTACTCATTATTTTCTTGTCTATTTCGACTCACTCAGATTTTAGTTCTGGGATGGCGAGTTTTTATTTATTTTGGTTCCTGCTGTATTCCCAGCATCTGGAACTTTGCCTACTACATAGTAGATGTTCAGTAAATATCTGTTAAATGAATGGATAAATGAATGAATCTTCCATTTGTTCCAGGAATGATCCTTCCCAAATTTACTTCCCAAGTTCTTCTTCTTCTTTACAACTGTTAAGAGATGGATTCTCTTTGTCTGGAGACTGAAGGACCACCTCCTAAGCACGCCTGGCTGCTTTTCCAGCCTCATTTCCTACAGCCTCTTTTGAAGCACCCTCAGCTCTTCCACACATTACTTCTTGCTGTTTTCTAAGCCCAGCACTTAACCCAAATGTCTCTGCCTCGGGTAATGCCTGGAATGCGCTTTCTCTCTGACCACTTGCACTCAGGTTCCCATTGTATCAGGCGTCTCTCAGACCCCTTAGGCAGAGGTAACTTTTATATCCAATCTGCTTTCATGTGTGGCATATGCTTCTCAAATTGACCTGTTGCCATGGTTATCACAGTGTATTTTTATCTCCACAATTAGAATTTGAACTCCTTGAGGCCAGGTCTTTTTCATACTTTTATTCTCATTTTCCAGTCTGGTGCCTCGCACATAATAGATACTTAAATGTTTGATGAATGAATGAATAAATTGATTAATCAATAGATTGTGTCTAGAGTTTTAGCTCCCTGAGAACATGTTACATTTTTGTAAAAGAAAATCTTTAAGAAGAATAAGAGAAAAATTATTTTTAACAATTTTGATCAGAATCTTTATATCTTTAAGTTGAAGTACTATTATTAATCATGCTAATATAAAAAATCCTTAAGTTGTGCTCTTAAATTGCATAGCCATAGTGACTAAGGGAATGTGCTCACTTTCTCACTTCCTTATTTGCAAGATAAAACTGCAGTTGGAAATTTGATATTCTAAATATTAAGTATATTTTTCAGTTAAAGTACACTCTCAATTTTTAATGGCTAATGTGAGGGCAGAAATAACCAAACCCTTTATTCAACACCACAATGGCTGAACGTAAAGCTTTGTTCTGATTTTTTTTTAACACTGGATGTTGAAAAGCAATTTGGCTTTAACTGAGAGAGCTGGTATTTTTCAAATTCGTGAGAAATCTTTACCCATCACTGGAATGAAATGTGAAGCCTGAACTGTGTCACACTTGGAATGAGATTAGAATGCTGTACCCTAGAAAGTTACCATATGGTTTAATAGGACTCTTGTCATGAGAGTCCTTTGGTTGGAGTCATCTGTCAGACATTTTCCATGATTATGGCAGTCATGGTCCAGGTATTAAGGATGGGAATACTGAGTCATATTTAACTTCTGATACTTTGAGTCATGCTGGCTTTAATAATCTTATCCTCAGTTCTTCCTTCTTTCCAATATCCATCAGTTGTCAAACCATTTGAAACATTTTTTGATCCTTTCCTTCTATTCCTTTTGCCAGTAACTTCACTGTAGGACTTTATCTTTTTGTAAGCAGATTCCTGTCTCAATTCTGCCTGTTCTTCTACTTTATATACCTCTGCCAGATTAATCTTTCTAAAATCATGTTACTTTGTAGCATATAAGAAAGCCCTGCTGCCTTTAGGAGCCAGGCCGAAGTCCTCAAAGTGTCAGTCACAGGCCTTTGTTATTTGGGAGCAAAGCTCCCAACGGGGCCCTCTAATACAGCAGGGCTGGTTTCCTCATGTTTCTGCATGAATGTCTGCTCCTTCTGCGTTCATGGCTTTGTTTGTAGCACTTCTCCTTCCCACCCGAACATTTCAAGCCCCTTTGCAGTTGTCAAGTGCCCCACTTATTTTGGCATTAAATTATATGATATTTTGAATTGCAATTTTTCTTTCTTACATTTAAATATTGTCTCCACGTCTAGAGCATAAAGTTATTGGAAACAAGGTGAAACAATGTTTGTGTAGAGATAGTTCTTTGAAACTTGGTGTTTTTTAATAGAAAAAAGGATATGTTATATATGATGGTCATGCTCCCCATGTACCCCCCCAAAGGGCCATTTAACCCATGTAGTAGCTGAAATATAATGCTGATAACAGCAGACCAGCATTTCATAGAGCTGTGAAATACATGAGGAAGGAGAACTCAATGCATTCTTTCTTCCTTGGGACATATGGAGATAACCTTAAGCAAAATGTCGAAAACAAGCAAATGTGCAGTATGTCTTTTTTGTTCTCCCATTGTCCATTCAGAGCCCTTTGTTAATGCCATAGAGTTCTCTTCTCTGTTCCCTAAGTGCTCAGGGCCACTATTCTGCCTTCATCACTCTCTGTGACCTTTCACTCAGGCTTGTTTTGCCCTCCCAAAAGGCCAATTGCTTCAAAAGTTCTTCTTTCCTCTGGTTTTCAGTGAAAATCCTTTGTCTCCTAATGTTACTGATTTAATTTATTAATTAGGCCAGTAATAATCTGATTCATTAAATTCATTCTATTGTATAGTATACACCCTATTCTTCTGTTAGATTTTTTTTTTTTTTACTTTTAGAGACTGACTTTTAACAGTAATTTCTGGTATTTTTTGCATACCCATATGTGTCTGACCTACTCTAAGTGCTTTAGAATAATTTTCTAATTTAATCCTCAAAACGACCTTAAAAATGAAGCCATTATTATTGGCATTTTAAAGATGAGGAGACATAGGCTTGAAGAGATTAAGAAATTTCTCAAGGTCACATGGCTAATTAATGGGACCTTGGCTTTTCTGATTTCAAAGCTTATAATCTTCACCATTACATTATGCTTCTTGCAAGGTAATTTTAAATTCAAGTTAGCAAATAGTTATTGGTATTTACATGTCCTAGGTTCTGTACTGTGAACTCTATTATTGGGATTTGGGGAAGTACAAGAAAACAAGTAAATTTATTCTGACAGCATAGGGGAAAGGTTCTGCACAGCAAGCTGCCACCCAAGTGACAAACTCATTGACATCTCTGTGGTCGGCAGCCTAAATTGTCCATTACTCTTTTTCTATATTTCAAAAGCCATAGATTTACTTAGGGTAGCTTAACAATTCAACTTTGTGTAAGCAGAAAAAAAAAAGTTAATTGTACATAAGGGCCGTTTTACATCCTCCTGCCACTCAACCTCCACCTCCCCCCACCCCCAAAAATGTATACACAGCATTTAGTACAATGAAAACAATTTAATTGAATTTAATTGATAAATACTTTTCATAGATTAAAAAAGCTATCTTCAAGAATGTTTGAAATGTTAGTTGCTTTCTATTTATTTTTATTTGTAATTCATTCACAGAACATATTTATTTTAAGTTTGACCTTGTCCTTCAGGAATATGAGTTCTGCTATGATACCCATCTAAAGGGACTTGCAGCAAGTTGAAACAAGACTCTTAACAGGCTGTCTTTGCCTTTTAATAGGCACAATCATTGGCAGCATCACTTTCTACGAGACAGCTATTGCGGATTTCTCGTCGGCTGTCACAGTACCCTAATGAAAATCTTCACAGTGCTGTCACTAAAGCCTGCCTTTCCAGGTAACTGTATTCTCCTGTCTCACTGGATCCAAGTTTCTGCATTTTTGCTAAAATAGTAACATAAGTTTGATTGATAGTCTGGAAAAAGTATTGGTCTGAATATGTAGCTATTTCAGCCTTGTGTTCATTTTCAGAATATATCTTGCTTAGGCATAACAACAATTTTAAGAGGTATTTTATTTATAAGAAAACTCTTTAAGTCACTTGGCTAAAGTCATATAGTGGTAAGTATATAAAAGTGTGTTTGGGATTTGAATGCTAGGTTCATGTGTTTTCTGAGTTAGTGTTCTTAATCATGACACTTAGTGACTCCCAAATTTCTGTTGGAACTTTCCATGCTTTAGAGTACTTTCCTGTTGCCCAAATTTAACAAAACAATATCTTTTCAGTCTATACTAGTACCTGTTTGGAAGAGATTATAAAACATTGACTTACAGAATTTTCTTACAGAATTACACTTGACATGAAACTATTTTAAAAGAATAATAAGCTCTGGCCAGTGGCTTAGTTGGTTGGAGCATTGCCCCATGTACCAAAAGATTGTGTATTTGATTCCTGGTCAGGGCACCTACCTAGGTCATGGGTTCAGCCCCTGGTCAGGGTGCATGCAGGAGGCAACTGATCGATGTTTTTGTCTCTCTCTCCCTCTCTCTAAAATCAATAAACATATCCTTGGGCGAGGATTTTTAAAAAAAAGAATAATAAGGATGATTAAGGACAATATTCAGTAGGCCCAGAAGTTTTTTTTAGACCAGTTGTCCCTAACTCCACCAGGAACTGGTATCCTGGAAGACAGTTTTTCCCTGGGGTTCTGGTGGGGAAGGTCAGGGAGACTGGAGGTCAAGCTCACCGGTAATTCCAGTGAAGCTCACTGGCTACACTCACCTCCTGCTGTGCGGCCTGGTTCCCCACAGGCCACAAACTGGTACCGGTCTGCAGCACAGGGGCTGGGGACCCCATTTTAGACTCTTCATATGATCTGGTAATATTTTTTATGATGGTTATGACTGTTCATTCATTGATACATGAAAGGAACTAAAAGAGAACCTATTTTCAATTTAGAAGAATCTATAATTGCCCTATATAAATTCAGTTTAGTGCATAATTTTACTTGTAAAGTAAGCTCCTTATGTTGCAACTTGAGTTAGTTCTCTCTGTGGTGTATCCAGCTAAAACAAGCCTCCTCTCCAGTGTCTTTCCAGTACCTTTGAAATAACTAATAATTATGAGAAATAATAAAATTCTCTTAAGTAAAAACATTAGATTTCCAAATGAAAATTAGGAAAAAAATGCTTTAAGTGCTTAGTTTTCAGGGTAATGAACTGAATAAAATATAGACAGCGATTACCTACCCAGAACTTGGTTATAGACATGTGTTAACAGATCTAGTCAGTGCTAAGCAATGTAAACAGCTTTGGAGCCAAGGGGAAAAAACACTTTGGATATATTAACATGAAGTAATCACATTTTACAGACTTTTGTATATGCTCTGGTAGTTAAGTCAACTTTCAACTTCCTTTATTCAAAAGCAAATAAAAATAAATCAAGTAATATGAATTGATCTAAGAAATAAACAAGAGTGATTAGAGTTCGTAGAACAAATATGCATTGTGATTTTGCTGCACAGTAGAGAAAAAGTGAGCAACTTAAAAATTATGAGTGGAAAAAAGATATAAGAGAGCAGTGTTAAAATGGCAACCTCAGATCAACAACAATAGATTTCAGATGGAGTAGAGAGTATCCTGAAACTGTTGAGGGAAAATAACCATCAACCCAAGAAATCTCTGTGTAGCTAAATGACATTTTTTGATGAAGACTGAATTTACTGCATTTCTGAAATAACTACAAAAGCAAATATTTCATCAAGAAGGAAACTGAATTCAGAAGAAAGATTGGCAAGCAAGAAATAATGATGAGGAAGGAAATAGGTAAATATACTTAAATTTAAAATGAATACTAATATGGGGAAGTATTTAACAACAGGATAAAACTAAACCACTAAGCAAGAGAATATAGAAGCTGAAAAAAGAGAAATAAATGCTTTTTTAGGTTCTTCTGCTCTTTAGGAAGAGAAGTATTTAATACCTTTAGACTTTGTTTAGGTATGCACATAAAAATTCTGGATAAACACAAAAAAGAATGGAAATGTATCCAGTAGAGATGGAAATGGATCCAGTAGAGGTGGAAATAAGCAAATAGAGAAAACTTGATCAATTCGATATAAGCAGAAATAGAGGGGAATGGTGAAAAAAGATCAGTCTGAAGAGTAAACATGAAATAATGTTAGAAGTGAGCACAAATATCACACAAGATTAAATTTTCTAGTTGAAAGTTAGAGTTCCTGATTGAATATTAAAAAAAAACCCCTAATTATATGCTGTTACAAGAGTCACATCTAAAACATAATAGAAAGGTCAGAGGTGAAGGCATAAGAAGATATACCAAATAACTAACCAAAAGAGAAGAGATACAGTATTATTAATAGGCAAAATATACTTCAAAGCCAAAAGCATGATTGGGAATAAAGAAGATGAAGAAAGAAGCTTAATTTAGTAGACTTAATAGTCTTTAACTGTTCATACTTCAGAAGGAATACAGTGTCAAAATATATGACAGAAACAATTTACAAATCAACAGTTATAATGACAGTTTTTTAACTCACTTCTTTTAGAAACTGATACATCTATAATTATAAAAATTAGAAAAGAAGAAGATTTGAACGAAGGAGTTGCCAAGTTTGATATAATGGACTTTGTACCCAGTGGACAAAGAATATACATTCTTTTCAAGGACACATGGAACATTTGTCCTATGTGTCAACTTTGACCCCAAACTAGATGAAAAAAATTGTGCTTCATAAGATATCAAAGAATCTTTTTTTAAAGTATATTTTATTGATCATGCTATTACAGTTGTCCCAATTTTTCCCCCTTTGCCCCCCCTATGCAGTACCCCACTTCCCTCCAGCAATCCTCCCCTCTTAGTTTGTGTCCATGGGTCATCCATAGAAGTTCTTTAGCTTCTCCATTTCCTATACTGTTCTTGACACCACCCCCTTCCCTCCCCTGTTTATTTTGTACCTGCCAATCATGTTTCTTTTTTTTCCCCTCCCCTTTGTTTCCCTCCCCCCTCTACCCTGCACTGGCCCAGTCCCCAGATTTTACGCCCTCCTCCTTAATTCATGTCCATGGGTTGTACATATAAGTTCTTTGGCTTCTCCATTTCCTATACTGTTCTTAACCTCCCTCTACCTATTTTGTACCTACTATTTATACAGTTTATTCTCTACCTTTTTCCCCACTCTTCCTCCTCTCCTCCCCTCTATTTACTGTTCATAGTTTTTGATCTTCTTCTTTTTCTTAGATAAGTCCTTTTAACATTTCATATAATAAGGGCTTGGTGATGATGAAGTCCTTTAACTTGACCTTATCTAGGAAGCACTTTGTCTGCCCTTCCATTCTAAATGATAGCTTTGCTCGATAGAGGCATCTTGGGTGTCGGCCCTTGTCTTTCATGATTTTGAATACTTTTTTGCCAGCCCCTTCTTGCCTGCAAGGTTTCTTTGGAGAAATCAGCTGCTAGACTTATGGGAAATCCTTTCTAGGTAACTGTCTCCTTTTCTCTTGCTGCTTTTAAGATTTTCTCCTTATCTCTAATCTTGGGTAACATAATTAATGATATGCCTTGGTGTGTGCTTCTTTGGGACTCTCTGAGCTTCCTGGATCTCCTGGAAGTCTATTTCCTTGGCCAGATTGGGGAAGTTCTCCTTCATTATCTGTTCAAGTAAGTTTTCAATTTCTTGCTCTTCCTCTTCTCGTTCAGGTACCCCTATGATTCAGATGTTGGAACATTTAAAGTTGTCCTGGATTTCATAAGTCTCTCCTCATTTTTTGGAATTCTTGTTTCCCCATTCTGTTCTGGTTGAATGTTTATCTCTTCTTTCTGCTCCCAGTTGTTGATTTGAGTCCTGCTTTCCTTCCCTTTACTGTTGGTTCCCTGTATATTTTTTTTTAATTTCCCTTTGCATAGACTTCACTTTTCACTCCATTTTGCAACCATACTCCTCCATTTCTGTGAGCATCCTGATTACCAGTGTTTTGAAGTGTGATAGCTTGGCTACCTGTTCATCGCTTAGTTCTATTTTGGGAGCTTTGATCTGTTCTTTCACTTGGGCCATATTTCTTTGTCTCGGCGTGCCTTGGAAATCGTTGGAAGGCATGGAGCTTCATTTAATAAATGAGTAAAAGTGTTTGATACTCCCAATAGTGAAACTTAAAAACAAACCAGAGTTAAAACAAACAAAATTCTTGGTGAATCAGGAATATTCTTAGTAAGCCATGGATAGAAAGTAAGTTATTTAATCTGATAAAGGGTACCTACCAAAAATTTACAGCAAGCATTTTTAGGTGGAATACTTGATATATTTTCTTTAGAGGTAGAAACAAAACCAAACTATCATCTTTCTGTACTTTTAGACAATGCATTTGTCCAAGGTTATAAGATTGGATACATAAAAGAGAAACTGCACATAAATTATTAGAACAAATAGAGTTTAGTGAGATTACTTATGCACCCAAATCACTGACATTCCCATATTCCAGTAATAGTCAATGAGAAAGTCTAATTTTTAATAATAATCCCATTCAAAATAACAGTACAAAACTTTGAGTATCTAGGAATAAATCTAATGAATGACATTTAATGCTTTCATGGAGAAAAACATAAATGTTCACTGAAAGCTCCACAAGATTGAAACAAATGGGAAGCTACACCATGTTCCTGAAAGGAAAGATTATAAGTCTGTTTGTTTTACCTCAAATTGACATAGAGGTATAATATAGTCAGATAACACCAAGGTTATAATGAATTTGACAAGCTAATCTCAAAATTATCATGGAAATATCAAGGGCCAATAATAGTAAAGGAACTTTTAAGGAAGATTAAGGAAGTGTACTTTATCAGATATCAAGATATACTGTAAAGCTGTATTCATTATAACA